AGAACTGACCTTTGAACTCTTCTTCGAACCTAAGATTCCACGGTGTTCTGGAACCAGAAGGTGGTTCACAAACATTTTGAGATAAACACCAGTGCCTTGCGGCGTGCGGCCAGTATGAATGATTCAACCCGGCCTGTGCAAGTGCGACTCGAGTTCCCTGGTTCTGATGCTCCGTTCAGCCACCGCGTTCGTTTTGTGAATGTACTCTTGACTGAGGACATGTCTCCAGCCCATCTGTTCAGCTGCAGCAATTAACTCAGGGGCATTATCACTGTAAAACGTGCCAACCTCGTCCGACGAGGAAGTGAAGTGCTGAAACGCCTTCACAGTGGCTTCCGTGTTTCTTTTAGCAAAAGGGTATGCATATTTGAAACCGGTGGCCACGTCGCTTATGACAAGGGCAGAGTACTCATCGTCTATGCCTAGCTCCTGTTCGTCCGCAGTGATTATGAAATCGGCTGTGATGTGCTCAGCGAATTTTCGAGCATCAACCTGTCTGGATCCCCCCCGCGAGCGAGAGGGAGACTTGGTCATCTTAGCGCATTTGCACACTTCGCAGAATGGATTCTTTGGCTGGTGTGTCATCAGGTGCTTCCGTGATGCTGCTTCCTGCCTAAGGGCGCTTTCTGCAAGTGACCTAGGGCTCTTCTTAACGGGGTTGCCAACAACATCTTCCCCTGCCAAATCTTTACTCTCCATCGGCTCAGCAAGTTCATCTGGATTGACTTCAACGGGGTCATTCGCCAGAAGCTCGGCGACAACTCTAGCATGCACCTCAGGATCTTCTAGAGGGGCAATGCTAGGCGTATACTCTTCTTCCGCGGCATCTTCAGTTTGCACGGAGGAGGAGTATGATGATTCACTCGGTGAACTGCTTCTGGCGACCTGACCTTCCGGTCGGCTTGGCGGTGTTCCTTTGGCGGGACACGCACATGCTGAGTCGCTATCCCACACGTCGTAGTACGGGACATAATCTCGAACTTTGAGATAAATTCTCGTCCCATCAGGCTTGACAAAGAATGGCTTCTCTTTTGCATGCCATATGAAGTCATAACCCTGATTCATGCACTTCAAACCTACGGAGAGAACAGAGGGTGTTTGCGGCAACAAGTATGGATCCGTGTTCCCAAGGTCACCTGCGGCCATGTTGGCCTGCTTTGACGAATCACTTGGTCCATTGGCAGTCATCAACATCACGGGATCATTTGAATTATAAATTGCATATTCGGGGCAATTCGCGCGGGTGAAAAGGTCGGTCCCACTGCCAGTGTCAATAATCCATGAACAGTTCGGAGAAAATCTCTTGCTCGCCAGTGCGGGCTTTGCGCCCATGTCTCTCGGGGCACATTGCCAGCATCCGATCTCGCTGTCACATTCGTACTTGCATCTAGTCGGATGGCCTTCCAATTCACGCCTCACAATGAAGGCGAGCATGGTTGCTCCGAGTCTCGCATCATCTATGCTGACTTCATCATGGGAAAACTGATGGTCGATTGGGTAGACCTTTGAATACACGCGCGGTTTGTCCGCGATCTTAAACTGCTCACCATGTGCTGGTATCCGATTCATTTCAACCTTCGAGCTGAAACGCACACTCGGGAGGGCAGGCATATGCTTCCAGTCCGACATGAGGTTCCCCTCAGCGATAGGGGCGTTCATCATGGAAGACAACAAGCATCCCAACACGCAAACAGCAGCAGGAGAAGGCTTTCCGGAAGACTTTCCCTTGTGACCCTTCTTCTTTTCTCCCTTGGAATCACGGGAAGTGGATCGAGAGGTCGACTTAGAACGATCCCTACTCGACTTGCGATGCTTCCGATCCTTTCCTTGCTTCTTTTGCTTGTCTGCGGATGGCTCCCTTGACCCTGGAACGGCCGGCTTCGGATCGATGTGAGCAAATGGGCAGTTTTCACCACGGTCACATCTCCCCTTAGGGTAGAAACGGCACTCTTTCTTTCCCTTTGGGCTGTTCGTTCGGCCTTTACCCTTACCCTTCTTGGGCTTAGCGTCTCTTGATGGGGTCCTACCCCTGGCATTGCCCGATGGCTGTTCATGCTTGTACGTGCAATTGTCCCGCCGACACGACCCATACTTGACAAATGCAATGCAAAACCCCTTAGGCACACGTTGGCTCTCAGCGGCGGGTGCGGCTGGCCTACCCCCGTTCTGCCTAGCAACCCGTTCTCGATTGCGCTCGAGCCTCGCTCGAGACAGGTATTGCCTCACAGATTCAATCAAGTAGGTGTATGAGTGATCGGCGGACTCTTCCGAGGCGCTCAAATAGACATTCAAGTGGTGTTGCATTTGCTTACTTTTCTTCAGCTGGTTGTAGAACAGAGCCTCAAGCATGGAGTCATCCGGTGTCTTGGCATTCATTCCTGCAAGAACACCTTCCCAGCTACGCATGAAGGAAGTGAGGTTATCGTTCACGAGCCTCACATTGAGGAGATCCTCCATGGCATAGGTGGCTCCGTGCTTGATGTTCGTGCTCAGGTGCTCGTGCACCATGAGAAGCACTTGTCTCCCACGAACTGGATTCCTCTTCTGCGCCTCTACCTCCTTGAAGGCGTCGACTTGTCTCGCCAGGTCACCCTGAATGATGTTGGTGAGGGCGGACAGCAACTTGGCGTCTAAGGTGAGGAAGGTACCGGGATCTTTGAGCTCCTCGATTGTGACGGCGGGCTCCCACACTCTGCTGATCCACGTGAAAGCGTCATCGGGGCGATCGGAAGCCGCACACACGGCCTCGCGCACCTTGATGCGCCAATTCCTGTAACTCTCAGGAAGCGGGAAGGAGGGAACGATAATCCTCTCCGCCTCCTTGACCTTGGGCTTGTCATGGTCTGCGTCCACTGCGCTCGCCTGCTTACCCAAGATCTTGTTGAGCTTCTTGCGGATCGCTCGTGCCTTCTCCGATGATGATGATGAGGATGAGGATGTTGAGGAGCTAGATGATGAAGAGCTCGGAGAGTCGGAAGGAGACCCACTCTTTCGTTTCTTGTGGCTCTTCTTCTTCTTCTTGTCCTTTTTGCTCTTCTTCTTTTTGTCCTTCTTCTTCTTCTTCTTGTCCTTCTTGCTCTTCTTTCCATCGTCATTCCCATCGTCATCGTCGTCGTCATGATCATCGTCATCATCGGGATTGTCGGCAGGTGGTTCCCCACCGCCTCCGCTTTGGCCATTTCCTGCGCCTGATGGATTTCCACCACCATCGTTAAGGTCCTGTGCCGGAGATGTCGGTTCGTAATCCCCGGCATCCCCGTCAAGATCATCGGCGGCACCTGGCCCATCACGGCGGAGTTCGGTGGAAGCTGACCTGATACGTACCTTAGAACTAAGATCCAGGCCAGGGGGAGGAAACGTCTGTACAGGAGAGGCCTTTGGCCTCAGACCGAAAATCGGAACATTAGAAGAACTACTCTGCTCACTGCGAGATTTCAGTTCATGACGTAGTGCCTCAATGTCCCTCGACTGCTTCATGATAATCTCCCTCATTTCAGCAGCGTTCCTGTCCGCTTCCTCCTTCTGCTTGTTGTGGGTGACTTCCCAAATCAATTTGAGCCGTTCATACTTCTGTTCAGCTTCTGAGCGTTGAGCAACCCACTGCTGTCTTGCCTCGTTGAACTCTCTTTCCTTCGCCATTGCCTCTTGTTGGCATACATTGATGTGGTTCACCGCGTCCTGATAGAGTCGGCCTTTTTCTTCAACATGGCCTGCTTGGAGCTGATTGATGATGGCGTCGTGGCGTGCCGAAGCATAGGCAGCCACTTCCTCCGTACTCGGACCTGTGTTGACCACATTCACCGTCTGGCTATGTTGATATATGTTCGGGGCGCTCACATGATGTTGATGAAGGTGAGTCTCATTCTTAGTCATGTGCGCGTGCATCTCCTGCCCAGGTTGATGTCCGGCGAGAGGTTCCCCTCCGCTTCCCATCGAATCCTCCGGAAGAACGACCGATGTGATGGGCACAAGCGCATCACCTTGGTCGGATTCAGGAAAACTGCTTCGGGAGCGCTGTGACGGATTGCATGGCGGTTTCCCTTCCGGATGCCCACCCTTGATCAATTCGTTGGCCACTGCTTCATTCATCCTTGCTATGGCAGGGTGGCATCCGTCGCCGCTTGACGCCATTGCGGCGCGGGTGAGAGCTGACTGTACAAGGTACCAGCGATACGGCTGATAACCTGTTGAAAGGTGGGATCTACCTAAAAGTCAGCACGGGCAGCAGCTTGTTTTACTTGAGCCAATATTATGTCGGTATGCCATTATCTATCAACAGTAGGTATGTAGGTATGTAGGTATGTAGGTATGTAGGTATGTAGGTATGTAGGTATGTAGGTATGTAGGTATGTAGGTATGTAGGTATGTATGTATGTATGTATGTATGTACGTACATACGTACGTATGTATGTATGTATGTATGTATGTATGTATGTATGTATGTATGTAGAAATGTATGTAGAAATGTATGTAGAAATGTATGTAGAAATGTATGTAGAAATGTATGTATGTGTGTGTGTGTGTGTATGTATGTATGTATGTATGTATGTATGTATGTATGTATGTATGTATGTATGTATGTATGTATGTATGTATGTATTAATGTAATGTAATGTAATGTAATGTAATGTAATGTATGTATGTATGTATGTAATGTAATGTATGTAATATGTAATAATATGTAATGTAAATGTAATGTAATGTAATGTAATGTAATGTATGTAATGTATGTATGTATGTAATGTATGTAATGTAATGTATGTAATGTATGTATGTATGTATGTATGTATGTATGTATGTATGTATGTATGTATGTATGTATGTATGTATGTATGTATGTACATACATGTACATATATATACATGTATATATATATATATGGTTCTAGACTCATACATATATATATATATATAATCGTCCATTGCAGCAAACCGGTTGAGTCCGCTTTGCCACAACAAACGCCCCAGACCCCACCTTGGTTTCAGACCGACGTTTCCCGCCTTCAGCGCGTGACACTCCAGGGCGCTCCCCGGGCGCCACATGTTCGCGTCGCCTTTGGCGAAGGGGAACAAGTCCACCGCCCCCGGCGCGATCTTGAAGATGTTCCTCGCTTTGTGGTGGTGGTGATTATGGTGGTGGTGGTGGTGGTGGTGGTGGTGGTGGTGGTGGTGGTGGTGGTGGTGGTGGTGGTGGTGGTGGTGGTGGTGGTGGTGGTGGTGGTGGTGGAGGTGGGGATGGAAGCGACCTTTCGTTTCCATGTGTTCCCTGCTTAAGCCCCCTGGAAAAATTGAGAGAAAATAGCTCCAGTAGTGAAATCGGTTCCAACTTTAAAGCCAACAGGGCCGACGTTCCATTTCGATGTGTTCCTTGAAACATCCAAAAGCTGCACCCGCGCGCGAAGACTTCGCGCTGGATCTGGCCATGGGGCATAAAGAGTAGCCTGCCGATGGTGTTGGACCCCAGCATCGCCACGCGGGCGAAGGTCTGCTGAACCAGGTCCACGTCCCGCCCAGTGATCGGCGAGCTCCTGGGCTTTCTCTTGGCTCGAGTTGCAGAGGGCCAACTAGTCCAACCCCCCAGACCTGTGGCTATGGGGAACAAAGGGCATTGGATGGTTCAAACTGGGGGAAAGATCCCAAACCAAATGTCCATGGGTCAAAACCACGTCCCCCCAGTAAACATCCCAATCCCCACTAAAATAGAGTAAAATGGGTGGTGCACCTACCCCAAAATGGTACCATTGGTGTTGACCCACAGCCAAATCTGTAACAGGCAATGGGAAGCCAATTCCATGCAGTCCCGGACAGACTAATTGGGGTGTCCAACGGACCACGAAACCCTTGCAGCAAACCCCCCCTGTCCCGGTTTCCCAGGTGCCAAAACATGTGAACGAACAGGATCTAGGGCAAAGCAGGAATTGCCTTTGCAGGTGCTTCTTCAAAATGGTGTTGGTTCATGTTTGATTGGCTTGCAATGGAAACACACAGCAAACCAACCATATTCGGGGGGTCTTAGTGTTTTTGCCTGAAAGCAAACCTGCAGAGGGAAAGAAAAACGGGGGTGAAACCCTGGCCTTGCTTCTGATCAGGAAGCCCGCCCAAAACCGGGGGGGGGGAACAGTTTTGGGGGGGAGTGATGCGGATCACATGCGAGGCTCAGATCCACCGGCGGGTTCTGCAGGTCCAAAGTGATGGGCGCGGGATGGTTCACTCCCACCGCTGCCATGGCCCGAAACGCCGAGCTGACTGACGCGCACAGTCGAGGCCCTTCAGCTTGAAACTAAAAGCCAAAAAACGCCGCGGACGGCGAGGCGGCGGTGTGATCATGCACGCGGGCTTGCGTCCAGAAAAAAAATGAAATTTGGGCTGTCACGTGGAAGAGAAGACGGTCTCAAGGCTCAATGTCTGACTGCCCAGGAGCATCTGTACTTCCCCTGCTGAGAAAAGGCGCAGACCCAGCCATGGTTTACTACTTGGGTATGTCTCAATTCCGTAGTTCCTCGTGCCTGGCGTCATGCTGCTTTCGCTTCGAACCCCAACTAAAACCCCAACCCATTTTGCACGAGTTTTAGATCCCAATCTCCCAAGGCACTGAGTGTGCTTGGAGATTCCAAAACAAAGATCTGCGTCTCCCCTCTCCAAAAGGCTTGCAAAACGGTTTATTAAAAGATATATCCAGCGGGGAACTACTTGGACCCGGGCCCAAAACCAAAAACCAACGCAGGACCCGGGCCCGCTGGAGCTCGTTCAGGAGCTCCGGGCTCCACTCCTCGTGCCTTCCGGGCCGAAAGGAAACCGCCCGGGGCTTCCGCCCCAACCGGAAGCCGCCGGCGGAACGAGGGGAAAAGCCGCGAAGAGAAAACCGTGTCACATCCCGCGACGCGGGAAGGGGGCAATGAACATTGAGGACTGTGAGGCTGGGATGGGAACAGGCAACAAGCCTGAGAAAAGTGTCGCAGTGAGTTGCGGCATTGAGCTCTTGAAACAGCAATGCTCAAACAGCGGCCTATCTGCAGCTGTTTCAAGCGAGGAAAATAATGTCATGAGATGGTGTGCACCCACTTAAACGGCTTTCCTGCCAGTCCAGTCAGCCCTCTCGAAATCTTGACACGCGTCAAGAAGATCGAGAAGTGCAGAGCCAAGGATGGCCAGCTCGCTGGGCCCGCTAGCTAAAACGGTTCACTTCTTGTCCTACAATTCTGACGGGCGTCTTGAGCCATCTGACGATCTGAGGCCCCCAGCAGGGATAGTCCCATGGACCCGCGACCGGCTCTCACGAGCGGCCCCCGAGTCCGACGTGGAGCACTGGCATAGAAAGGGAAGGGGGTGTTTCTCGTGGAACAAAGAAGGCCGGTCTCTTCGCCAAAAGTTTTCAAGAGGCCGGGCTGGTAGAGTTGAGCACGGGCATTTCCTGAGTTGACGCAGCAATGATCAAAACTCCTCTTCCAAAACAAAAAGCATCCCTTCTGGTTTGCTCGGAAGAATCCACAAAAGGCCCAAAAGGGCCTTTTGGGCTTTCAATGATCTGCACGTTTCTGACTGCTCCCGGCCGCCCTTCTTGAGCCCATCGGCTGCGGGAGATCTGCTCAAGCGACGCCAAAAACCACCCAGAAGACTAGATTGTCGCCCAAGCTGAAGGAAATATATTTTACTTGGCCCAAACGGATGGACAATATAGGGAGCCCTACCCTTTGTTAGCCCAAAACCTTCCTGTTAGCTTCCATGATTGTGGGAGGGAGAAAGGACCAGCGAAATCTTGATTGAATTAACTCTTGATGTACCTTGAAAAACCAAAAAATATTGCTGAGGGCAGATTCATTGGCTCACTGCCAGAAGGCATCGAAGCCGCTCCAAGAGGCCTGAGGACGAAGTCGGTCCCCGATTCTTGGACTCGACACTTCCCACCGGTTGCTACTCATGGCGTCCAAAGGGGCAAAAACAGAACTGCAAGTCGTCCAAGCTGATTTCAGCGAACCTGGCAAAAGCAATGGCAAGGCATTCGGCTGACTCAAACTTCGAAGGCGTAGCGTTTGACTCTGTTGCTCAATCCCCTTTTCGGTTGATCTTCAACCCGCGAAAAGTGGGAGGGGATGGGGATAGGGGGGCCCTGGGCTGGGCTGCTTCTGGCGATACGTTGCTCCTCGTCGGTGGCAACACAGGTGAAGTGTACCTGCGAAGTGACGCGCGCGCTCAGCCCGGGGTCCAAATGGGGCTATCCAAAAATCAGCCACCCCCTTTTGGTTGTCGTTTCAAGGGAAACCGGAAGCACCTCCGCCATGTTTAAGGGTTCACTTCCAAATGGCTCACGGGGCCCTGAACAGAAAAGGCGATGTTGCAGGGAGATCTCAGAACTTCCGATTGCTTTCCTTTAAAGCGCTTCCTTGGCCCAGCAATATTACACAGAGACACACGAGTACGCCCAAAAAAAACAAGCGGGTACCCTCCTCATGTGGTGGTTTGAAGGAAACCGGAAAGCAACTCACCGTTTTGGGGGCCCACATTGTGAGAATGTCCCACACGGTGTGCTTCGTAACGAGTTGGACCTTTGCGTTCTTGCGTTTGATGGAAACGCGAGACGTAGATGTCGACTTTGACATGTCAAATAGAGTCAAATGTCGTCTGTTCAGCATGGCTACATCGCATGGCCAAAGACTCTTCAAGCGCTTTCTGCAAACAACAATCTGCCCATTTGAGAACCTACGGATTCATATGTATGACGACCCCAATGTCCCGAGAGATGCCCAAACTTGAAGAGTTCATGTGACTCACTCCTTGACCCAGGTGTCCATCAACCACAGGAAAACCATGGCAAAGTCATCAATGGCGTGATGTTCCTTGAAAAAAGGACAAGTGAAGCAGCACTGCTTCCATTTGCCAGCTAACCAAGGAAAGCCATTGAATTGCCAAAGGGAAAATGACCAGTTACCTTTCTTCTGTGCTACGTGGGAGCCAGGCACAGCCGGGAGTTCTGCGGGCGAAACATGACCCGAGGGTCACCGCTGGGACCAGGCCAGCTGCCACGCACAGGATCAGGTGCCGCGTCATGTCCTGGAATCTCGCGGCGCGGAAGAGGCAGACCGCTCAAACATCCAGCAACACGCCCCGCTTTCGCTTTCGGGCTCCCGAGGGCTCCCAGATATATGTTTTTTGAAACGCGCCAAAGGCCAACAAGGGTGTCAACAACAAAGGCAAAAAGGCACAGGTGGAGGTCCAAAACACAGACCTGCCCCCGACAACACCTGTGCTATAGCGGGCCTTCACCAGCAAAGGCTTCATCAGGGGCCTGGCAGGCACCAATAGAACCAGAGGCCCCATCAGCGAGTACATGAAAACGCGGGGGGTCGATGCAAAGACAAAGACCATACGCCGCAACAAGCAAGCCCCGGTGTTTCTTGGAACAAAAACTACAAGCAAGCTCCTCCTCCTCCTCCCCCGCCTCCTCCTCCTCCTCCTCCTCCTCCTCCTCCTCCTCCTCCTCCTCCTCCTCCTTGTCTTGATGTCTTACCCTCCCCCCCTCCCCATTTTCCACTTGCGGACGGCACCGCCCGGCCAAAGGCGCTGTCGCCGTCACCGGCGCGCGCAGACCACCACCAAGGGGTCGGTGTCTGGACGGGAGAGGTCCACAACCTCCGCGTCCTGTGCTCGAGGGCCCAGTGACTCACCCACCACTGCGGGTGGAAAGGCAAGTGGACAGGGGTCAAACTGAAGGAATGGGGGGGTCAAAACAAAGAAGGGGGGTGAAACCAAAAAGTGGGGGGGGGGGGGCACCCTGGTCAAGTGACTCAGTGCGTGACTTTTCCGAAAGGAACACGCCAGGTGGAGGATGTTCCCCGGCAACGGTTGGGAACAAATAGGAAAGCTGAAGTGGAGGAGTCCATCCCAACAGACCCAAAACAGTTGGAAAAAATGAAGCATGCGATAGGGGATTAAATTGATGGTCGAACTGGCCAACTGTGCTCATTTATTGTTCCCTGACTGGGTAGTGAATCCTGGCCCCAAAACCTTGCAAGTGTGCCAAACCAGGCTATTTGCCCCGGCACCCATTCATCTCAAACCGAAATCTGCGCGGGGTGATGCTTCAAATCACTGGGCAAAAAAGATCTCACAAGCTCGGAAGGGGCACAAGCTCCTTATCAGGGCCATGGCCATTGTTCAGGGCAAGGACACACAAAGTTGACGAGAATTCCCTGCCATCCCCGAGCAAAGGCCATGTTTGACCCCATGGCGTAGATTTGAAACGTCCCTTTGAAACCTGAAAAGGTACCTCAAAACACAGCACTCCCTATGTGCCAGGATCATTTATCCTTATGTGGGTCAGGGTCTTCGGTCGCGTGTCTAGTGCGCGGGGTGGGCACTTTGGCCCGATGAGAACGAGACAAGAGGGGTGAGACGATTACCCGGACACCTTAGCAAGAAGGGACTTGAGCGTGGTCAGAATTGCATCGCAGTCAGTGATAGCATCGTGTACATTGTTAATAACAAGCTGTGAAGAAGCAACCACAGTGCACTTGGCATGCTGGAGAGGCAAGGGAAGGCGCTGCCGGCGCCCACAACTGTAACCACAGAGCGCGCAGATAGGCACAGCCAAATGCCAGGAAGGAGTCCAGGCGTACGCGACACAGTTGTCCAAAATAAGGCGGTTCTCCCAAGAGGTGCGAATGCACGCCCATCTCGTAATAGCGCCACGAAATTGGACCGCAGCAACCTTGAGGGCCTTTCGAATAGAAAGACCGTCAAGGGAAACCCAAATGTCAAGGGGCACAGACTCGAAGGGCCTGAACTGCAGCGAATTTTGAATGTCAGTACAAATAGACGGACTGCTCGTCAGTGTCAGGGGCAAATGTAAAAGGACGCCTGCGCGCGAGAACAGTTGGAGCAGCAGTCTTGCAAACAAGTCTCCTACGAAGGGTAAATCTGTCAAAGAAAGGGCTGTTTCTCCAGTTGGCAATGCGCAACACCACGTCTTCAAAAACCACATAGATGTTGGAGGGATGTTTGCAGAAGCAACGTATTCATCATTAATATTGCAAAGCATACGGAAGGCAGCCGGGAGGATATCGTTCCTAGAGAGTCTCCACCCTTGTCGCATAGCACCAATGCTGGGGAAGCCGTTGAGGACCTTAAGGAGTCTAGGCTCAGCACGCAACTGAGAGCTGTCGAAGTCCTGAAAGTGCAGCAGAGCAAGCTTCTCCCATATGTGGGTCAGGGTCAAGGTTCCCTATATAATAGCAACCCTCGCAAACCTAAATTCCTCAGCAATGAGCCTATGACCGTTCCAGACCAACCCCAAGTAGAAGCGTTCTTGACCTCACGGCACAAATGAGTATGACTGAAAATCAGGCAAGAACCCTCTAAAATCGTTGATGTCCCTTTGGTTTCAACCAACCAAGAAAGTCAGCACAACCAACCATGAGCAGCCTAAGAAGGAAGAAATGAAAGTAAGCAGAGGGAACCTCTGATTGAACTGTATCTCAACATGACTTCCCTTGGAACCAACACTAAAATTTGTTTCCTCTCAGAAAAGGAACCATAGCGGTCAAACTATGCAACTATCCTGTGGTTGAAGAGGTGATTTTCCTTCCCTGGCATTCGTTGCGATTGAGTGAGTCCCCAAAACACACCCGATTGACCATTGACTCGAACCACGCATGCGCTTTCGCGGGAATCCAGGCAAAGGAACAGGTTCAAAAACCACAAAACCGAGAGCAAACAGGCAGGTCTGACAGTGAAAACAGGCGGAGAGTTGGGGGTTGAGACAAAACCAAGGTCTTGAAAAAGAGGCGAAACTTCACCAAATGAGTAAACGTTGGTCCATTCCCCCTTCCAAATGGGTTCTACCCAAGTCTTCGGCGAAGCCTGGAATCCAAAGCCCTTGCTGTTTTGTTTTCATAGGATTCAACCCCTCAGGCTCTCTTCCATATTTGGTCCATAAAATATAGAACCATTTTGGGGGAGGCCCCTGCGGCCTTAAGGCCTGCTGCCCGATTTTCCGCGTGCGCCTGGAACCCGGCGAAGTGGAAGTAGTTGGCCGCGACCTCCACGCGGTCGTCCAGGTCCCCCACGCTCCTTTCCGACCAACTGCCCCACAAAAAACCGGAAGCCTGGAAAACCCCCCAGGGGAACCCCAACAAACAGCAAGTGGTTTGAATATCCTGAGCTCACAGCAAAACCCCAGGCGTAGTGGATGATCCTGCTTTTGTTTTTTTTGCATGTGGAGATCCCGATGTTGAAGGGAAGGTAGCGACTGTCAACAGACTTGTATTTCGACTTACTGGCAAACATGACGTCTGATGCAGCAAAACTTCCAGATATACGGAATGCGTACAGCTTTGAAACTTGGAGGCATGACAAGAAGTTCGCCTTTCAAGATCGGCACTTGTCACCCTTAAAACACTGCTGGGCTGTGAGCAACAATGAAGATTGGTTGCACGAGCGACAGTCTGCGACCGCTTTGCCCAAAAGGTGCTGGAAACTTTGCTGAATCCGCTGGGCATGTTCTTAGTGGTTGGGTAGGGGAGTTCGAGGGAGGAGTGCCCGGCACTGGCAGATTTTTGACACGACGAACCCCCGACTTTTCTAACCTCTAATTTCTCCAACCTCTAACTCTCTAACTTCTATGGGTGCTCGATTGGGTTTGTTGGTTGGTTGGTTGGTGGGTGGGTGGGGTGGGGTGGGGCGGGGCGGGGCGGGGCGGGGCGGGGGCGGGGTGGGGTGGGGTGGGGTGGGGTGGGCGGGGCGGGGCGGGGCGGGGCGGGGGGAGGGGCGGGGCGGGGCGGGGGCGGGGCGCGGGCGGGGGGCGGGGCGCGGGGCGCGGGCGGGGCGGGGCGGGCGGGGCGGGGCGGGGGCGGGGGCGGGGGCGGGGCGGGGCGGGGCGGGGTGGGGTGGGGTGTGGTGGGGTGGGGTGGGGTGGGTTTGGTTTGGTTTGGTTTGGTTTGGTTTGGTTTGGTTTGGTTTGGGTTGGTTTGGTTTGGTTTGGTTTGGTTTGGTTTGGTTTGCTTGCTTGCTTGTTGGTTGGTTGGTTGGTTGGTTGGTTGGGTTGGTTGGTTGGTTGGTTGGTTGGTTGGTTGGTTGGTTGGTTGGTTGGTTGGTTGGTTGGTTGGTTGGTTGGTTGGTTGGTTGGTTGGTTGGTTGGTTGGTTGGTTGGTTGGTTGGTTGGTTGGTTGGTTGGTTGGTTGGTTGGTTGGTTGGTTGGTTGGTTGGTTGGTTGGTTGGTTGGTTGGTTGGTTGGTTGGTTGGTTGGTTGGTTGGTTGGTTGGTTGGTTGGTTGGTTGGTTGGTTGGTTGGTTGGTTGGTTGGTTGGTTGGTTGGTTGGCTGAAAGTGCCAGAGGCCTTGTCTTTGCTCCTGGACCAAGTTGCTGGGGCTTGCCTCCACCGTTGCCTTTTCCTTCAAAGTGTGCCCATGCCCATCCGCTGTAGGGCGAGGAGTGGCTCGAACGGGAGGCCAAACTGATGTCCCTGACCCGAACATAAGAGGTGAGACCCCTTGCATGAAGTCCCGTGTGTTGCAAGGCTGGCGAAGCTCAGAGATTAGAGTTAGATGCTAGAGGAACTAGAGGTTAGAGTTCGAGATTGGAGTCTAGAGGTCGGAGGGCCCCATCATCCACCCGCGCTTTTCCGACTTGGCTTCACCGGCCCAACCTCCCACAACCGAGCCGCCAAATGGACACCAGCTTCGAGAGGAAGCAGCGGTTGGAGAAGGCCACAATCGCCAGACCACCCGGGCGCAAGACGCGATACACCTCGCGGAAGACCTCAAATCGCAGGAGCAAGCGAGGCTTCTGGACCCCCTGTTTGGGCTTCTTTTTCGGGAAGCCATGAAGCCAAGGGCGGATCTGAACTAAGGTATCTGTCTTTCCAATTAGCGAGCTCACCGGTTCGGGGGCAAACTCAGCTCACCCGTTTTCATTACTCGATTCGCTGGCGCTTGCTACTGTCACTGGGGGCTTGCAGCAAGCGCACAACTTCAGCACGGCAATTCTTGACAGCAAGCTGCATGGGAGTTTCTCCACCAATGTCTGCCTTGTCCTTGTCAGCCCCAGCTTCCAGTAAGCAGCGCACAACTTCCTGACAACCATTCTCGGTCGCCAAGTGCATGGGAGTCTTTCCAACACCATCTGCTTTGTCCTTGTCAGCGCCGGCTTGCAACAAGCGATGCACAACTCCCGGCTGGCCATGAAACGCAGCCAAATGCATGGGCTCCATTCCGCCAACGTCGGCCTTGCTCTTGTCAGCACCGGCTTGCAGCAAGCAATGCACAACTTCATGATAACCATTCTCGGCAGCAAAATGCATGGGACTCCTTCCAGCATAGTCGGTTTTGTCCTTGTCAGCACCAGCTTGCAGCAAGCAACGCACAACTTCAGGCTGCCCGTGAAAAGCGGCCAAATGCATGGGCACTAGTCCGCCATTCGCCGCCTTCTCAATGTCGGCACCAGCTTGAAGCAAGCATCGCGCAACTTCCTGCTGGCCTCTCTCGGCAGCAAAGTGTATTGGAGCCATTCCATCAATGTTAGCCTTGTCATGTGCGGCACCGGCTCCCAACAAGCACTTCACAACTTCATGATGGTCACTCATGGCAGCAACGAGCATTGGGGTCCATCCAACACTATCGTGCGTGTCCTTCTCGGCGTCGGCGTCCAGCAAGCAACGAACAACTTCCACATGCCCACTCTCGGCAGCAACAAGCATTGGACTGCATCCACGACCATCACACGCGCGTTCGCGCTCGCACCGGCCAGCAAGCAACGCACAACTTCCACGTGCAAACAGAGAGCCTGCTTCAGCAGCCTTATGGGTGCCACCTGTGCATCCTCATCCTCATACTCAATTTCATCTGGCTCCAAAAGCTCATTGTCAAAGCCCGAGTCCGGGTCCAGGGGCATTTCCAGGAGACTCGCAACTGCTGCAGCATCTCCGCTACCTGCTGCTAGCAGTAACCTCTCCCAGTACTCTCCATCTGTATCTTCCAAGTAGGGCCGAATCACGACCACCAGTTCCGCATCAATCCAATGGCTGTCTTGTGAAAGCATCTCATCACCACGAACCAGGGCCAGCTGCCGGAAATTCTTCAACTGCAGCCGCGCGGCCAAATAACGCCTGAACACATGATGAAAGTCGCCCTCGTGTTGCTCAGACCACCATGCAGCAAACTCATCCTCAGTCACGACATCCTCACCACTGACCTTGCGAACGCGCCCCATCTCTAGGCGCAAACTACAGGCCCAAAAGCACGCTGGACCCTATCCTGCGAGCCGAGCCGTCATTACATGATCGCCAGAAAGCTGTGAACTCATCCCCCCCTTTTGGGGCCTGCCCACTATTTATGTGGGAGCGATTGTCTCGCACAAAGAGAACATGGCCGCGTCCAACACCTTTCTGGGGGATGGAGCCTTCAGGAATTCGCAATGCCAAGGGCACCGAGAGATCGACATCCCTTGCCACCTCCGGGGCTAACTTGGATTCAGAAAACGCTGACACGAGGAGTTTGGAAGACTAGACTTCCCGTTTCCGCTTCCATGATTGAAAGACTGCTCCTTTCTCAACCCGGAAGCTCCAAAGAGAGGCGGAAGGCAAGCCATCCACTTCGATCGGTGAATGATGAAAGTCCTTCAACAAATCGGCTGCTTATCAATGACATAACAGCCCACCAATGGCAAGCGCTCCCGCCAATGGCAAGCGCTCGCAGGTCAGCTTATTGCTGCCACTGTTCAGGCAGGCCCCCAAAGACCCCCGCCAGCCTCACCCGGACAAAAGCTCACTCTCTGCGGTGAATTTGGGGACGCCAGGGCCAACCGATTGGCTCCGTGCTTTCAAGGGTACCACGAAAAAGGCGAAACCTTGGCCACTCCCGGAAACGGATGGCGTATTGTTGTTCCCCCCGAGGGCTACCGTTCGCAAGATGTCGTTCAGCGTTTGGCTTCCCATAGCACGGGCCCCACCTCCAGGGGCTTCGTGAGGTAATCCACCGACACGGTGTTGGTCACAACGTCAAATTCCTGGTCCTGACGTTTGGCCACTTGAAAACCCCCGAGGATTTTGTTTCTCGGGTTTGCAACCACATGTTGCTTCGCAAACTACTGTGGTGGTTGTGATGTGTTTTTGCGTTCACCCCTCTTGTTTGTTGAACAAAACGTGCTTTCTAACTAGACCACTGCGGCTTGCTGTTTAACCACTCTTTAAGCATCCCCTTTTGCAACCCCCTTGCGGGGCGGCAGGCTCTGGTCGCTTGTGCCCATGCAAAAAAAAAACCCAAAAAAAACTCCCGGTCCTTGTAGGGCAACTTCGGCTCCGCGTTCAGGTCCTCGCGGAGTTCAGGACTCGCAAGACGCGCAGCTCAGGACTTTCTTTAAAAGAAAACGAAGCTGATAAAAAAGCCGGAGCAAAAAAGCTGGAGGTAAAAAGAAGAGAATGGTACCATTCTTTTCCAATGAGCCAAAAAGCCGGAGGCCAAGGAGAGAAAAGGCAGGAGGCAGGAGGCAGGAGGCCCCCGTCCATCCAGGAAACCGTCCAAAATGGGCATACACGCACTCAGACCAAACCGTTGTGCCGCCCGCCGAGCCTATCCCCGGCCAAAATGTGAGTAAACACGGAAATTATGCGTTTAACCAATCCTCAAATATGGAAAGGTCTCCTTGCTAACAGAAAACCCTGAGATACACGCGCTTTGCGCGTCTCAAGGACAAGGATCCGACACACGCAAGCCCCAAAAACGCACCGTGGCCGTTTGCTTTTTGAGGGCTTGCTTCGCCGGTGCAGCGGGCTCGAGGTTTTGCCTGTTCGCCTATGAGTTTCGGGCGGTTTAACAGTTTACCTGTTTCGTCTCTTTGACTTTCGGGGTGGGAGGGCACTAAAGCATGTTGCAACAACTTCCACAAAATACGGATTCGCCTTTGCTCTGGGAAACACCTGTTTGGGTGTCTTTTCGCTACTGTACCCTCTGTAGGTTTCTTTTTGAAGGGAAACCAAAAGCAAGCCGAGGGATTGGGGATTCCGACCCATTTGAAAAACGTGGATGACAACCCCGAATCCCAAACTAGCCTGCTTCACCCTTGTGGATCCTCCGAAACTAGCTAAGTAGTTTGGAAGATGTAAACCTTGGCTGGTCCGAAAGGGATGAGGCCAATCACCCCCCCCCCCCAACAAAAAAGGCCAAACATGGCGTTCTTTTGAAAGAGGGATGAGGCCAATCACCCCCCCTCCCAAAAAAAAAAGACCCCACGCTGGGTGGTCGTCTTTTTTGAGCAGCCCATTGGCTTCCAAGCCCATTCTCTCCTGCACCGTCCAATCCGTGGCCTGGGCGTTGCGCTGCAGCTCCTCCGCGTTCATCCCGGTGGCCGCCAGCCGCTCCGGCGCGGGCGAGGGGTAGTGGGACACCCAGGAGGAGCAGAGGTCCAGCGCGCGGAAGGGCGTCGTGGGGAAGACCTCGGAGTTTGTTTCGCCGGACGCCAGGTCTGAGAACATCGGATGAAGAGCAGCTGGTGGTTGTTGTTTCTTTTTTCTTTTTTTATATATATTCCAGGGGGTGTCCAATTCCTTTTAGTGGGCATGACCACTCTAGGGAACACCCCCGTAATGATGGGACGGGTTTATTAATCCTGGGTCAACATTAGAACCTCCCTCCCCCCCCCCAACACAGCCCCAAGCAAAAGGGTGAAAGGTCTCAAGCTGCAGACTGGGAAACAAGTCAGGTAAACAGAGTCACTGGCCGAACACCGCGCCCAAGCCCAACCCCGAACCCACCCACCCGCACATGACGTTAAAAAACAACTGTCAGAAGTCAAAGAAACGGTCAATTGACATAGACCTTTGTCAGCCCGAGTGAATCGCAACCCAAACCTGTCATTCAAGGGCTCTGCCCAGGCTGAAGGCTGCCCCCTACCAACCCCTGCCCTGCCAACCCCTGCAGCCCCCGACCCCAGCCCACCCACCCCACCCGCCCCACCCGCCCCACCCACCCCACCCACCCCACCCCACCCACCCCACCCACCCCACCCACCCCACCCACCCCACCCACCCCGAGAAGAGCTGCCTGGGCGTAGAAGGCGGTGAGGCTCTGCAGCGTCTTGTCCTCCAGGTGCTTCACCAGACGCGGCTCCTTGTAGAACTCCGCGTCGTCGCCTCGTTTCAGAAAAAGACAAATGCACGAGGACCCTGGTTTTTTTTCCAGGCTTTTATCTGGAGATGGTTCGTTGTTTGGCTTTTTTGGGGGGGTCCCATTCTGCAGGCTAAAGAGTTGCACTCATAATTCTCATCTGACTTAGTCTGGTTTTGAAGTACTCCACAACCCTTCTGGTACCCTCCCACCCATGTTGCCGCGGAACCCGGCTGGAGCCCCCTGGAAGCTCAACTCTTCTCACAGTCTAGTGGCTTTTTTGGTGGTGGAATGGAAAGAGAGTGCTGCACAAAACGGGAGCAGAACGACATGGGGAAAAAAGAACAAGGTGACAAGGGTGCGGTGACTGCTTGTGGATAAGCCGTGAGGGACAAACTGCCTGTAACAATAAGTTCAGGTGATATCCCCAACAGCATGCGGTGCTCTTTTTAGTGTTCGCACCACCCCGCAGCCCTCGTAGAACCTCGTGGAACCTCGGTGGAACCCTAGTGAAACCTTACCTCAGGGCCGCCCCGGACCACCCCGGAGCCTATCTGGGCTAAGACCCCAAGGCTTTCAGCTGTTGGGGAAAAACACACAGTCCGAAAAAGGAGTAAGCAGGATACGGCAGGAGGACAAATACAAGTGGTGGTGGGGGGTTGGTGTGGTTATTGGGGCTAATGGGGGTGCTTGGCACCAGGTTGCTGAAATTAGACTCCGAATTGTTGATCTTGCGGATCCACAAACTTTGGAATGTCCATGTGTTTGAAGCCGAAGAAACTGTGTTGAGCACTGTCTTGTCTTGAATTGAAGCTCCCTGACATCGTTGTTGAATCAAAATGATTCAAGCCTAAGGCAACAGAGGCTTTACAACAAATGAAACCAACGCTTCAAGGAGTACCTAGATTCGACACATCGCTCAAGACGGCCAGTCCGAGAAACCGTGATTGCCCAAGCCATGCAACCGAGGGACTCCCTCAGTTTCAGTCCCCAGCGCCAAATGGCAGTTCTTGCAACATTTGCAAGAGCCAAGAATCCGAAATCCGCCCCTTCTTGCTCAAAAGGAACCCAGACGATCTCCAGAAGATGGAGCTTGATGGGATGAGCTTGAAGGGGCACTCATCTGAAAATGTGCAAATGAAGGGGCTCCTTCAGAAATGGGTATGGGTCAAAATACAACCACCAGGAATCGGACGGCAGGCTTTAGTCCTTCTTTCCATTTGCCAGGGCAAGCCATTTGGGGGTTACCCTATTTTGGACAACCCCAGCCAACTGGATGAATTGAGGGGCGCCATCTGAGGAGTATCCCTGGTCAAGCTTCAGAACCCCGCCTTGGTCCAGGCGGAAGAAATCCTTGTCCCGATAGGGCCACTGAGCGGGATACCTCAACCGAGGCTCCATTTGGGAAGAGGCGGTTCGAAAGAAAGAAAGAAAGAAAGAAAGAAAGAAAGAAAGAAAGAAAGCAAGGAAAAAAGAAAGAACGAAAGAAGGAAGGAAGGCAGGAAAGAAGGAAGGAAGGAAAGAAAAAAGGAAGGAGAAAAAACAGGCAGGAAAGGGTAGAGGCGGCATTCCCAGCACTTCCAGCATCATTCAAGCAAGTTTGGTGTCACAGGAATGCATAAATTATCGCGCTGACTTGCACTGCTTGGGTTCATTTGGGGCCAGCCAAACAAAACAACAGACCAACACATTGTCCGTTACAAAAGAGTCCAGGGATTGCGGCTCTTGCATTGCAACAGCAAAGGAGTAGCATACAGCAAAGGCATCCCAGCATCATGAGCATCACAAGCATCACCCGCATTGTTTCAGCAGCGCGCCATCTGCATCACCAGCATCACCTGCATCACCAGGGTCCCCACAACGGCAACAAAAAGCGAAAAAGGCACTAGACAACTCATGAACCACAAACCACCACACCAAATGCCGTCAAAAAAACTCAGAATGTCTTAGCCATGGGAAGCAAACCATGTGCGAGCACTTCCCGCCAGGGCACACGAACTTATCCAGCGCTTTGGCGGCGAATGTGTCGGTGTTTGCCTGGGCTATCTCCACCTCCCGACTGTCCACCGAGTGGATACGCACAACCTTCCTGAGTTCACATCTGCGTTCGTTGAGGGGTTCAAATAGTACAATTTAACAACTGCCAAATGATGCTGCTTCGCAGAAGGTGAGTCTTTCGCCCGCGGCGTGGGGATTGCACCCCATGTGGAGAGTGTGCCATGAGCAGCGGCAACAGCATCGACCAAAGCGCCAAACCATTGTTACACCCCCAAGATATAATTAATTAATTAACTAATTAATAATAATAATAATAATAATAATAATAATAATAATAATAATAATAATAATAATAATAATGATAATAATAATAATGATAATAATAATTAAAACTCAGCCTCAAAACAAACAAACAAACAAACCAACAAACCAACAGTCATACACAAACCAGAACAAGAAAAGGACATGCACAAAAACACCCACTCGAAAACGAGTACACCTCCGAGTGTCTTGGCCCTGGCCCGCGCGGGCAGCAAAATCCCGGCCACCGCAAAGGCCTGCGGATGGATCTGGTGACTTGTTGACGTGGTAATACGGGCGGCTCGTCTTTTTTGAGGGCACCCTTTGCGGGGTTGGTTTCTTTTCTGCGAAACCCAACGAACACCACTCCTTCGAGACACAAACCCAGAATTACAGTTGGTTTAAAGGGAAACACAAAGGAAAACCACCAGTCTTTCGGGGTTCCCAAATTTTGAGACAAACCTAGAATTACACTGGGGGCATGGGGGGTACTTTACGACAAAATTAAGGGTTTAGCCCCTTGTAGTGATTGGAGAGTCACCCAGAACCTGACCCTCCTGCACAGCCCACGCAAACCCCCTCAACCACAAATAAAGCTCTACTGCACCATGCTGTCAATTGCATTTGTTTGGCGCCGATTGCCTAGCAGCAGCCCCCAACCCTGCAAAATCAGGATTCAAGTTTGAAGTCCATCTGAGATCAGAGCGCACTGTTCAACCTTTTGCGAACCCAAATGAGTCACAAAAAAAAAAGACTACCCAAAGTCGTGCGCAGAGAATTGAACGGGCAGAAAGCCGCACCAATATCCGGTTGGGACTACACTTCAACTACCTCAATCTCTGTAGCTCCAACTGGCCCAAGGAATCAGAAATTGTGGATTTAGTTCAGACAACATGCAACAAGGAAAGCAAACGGGAAACACAGGAAACTCCACGTTGCACTTGTTTGTCAATGGGACCTCAAAATCCCCTCCAAAAACGGAAAGGTCTTCCTTTCCGTGGTTCCGCCATAAGCCCCCGTGCTCTGCTAAGCCGCGCTCCAGCGCCGGCTCGCCGGCCCAACCGCTGCCGCCGCCGGCGACCCCGCCGGCCGAACCGGCACCGAGCGGAGCGGATCCGGAGCCGGCGCCGCTTTTGGCGCCAAAGGCAGAAACTCCATCAGGAATCTGCACGTCCAAGTGAGTTCTAGATAGACTGCTTGTTTTTCGGAGGAGCCAGTTTCAACTACTGGTGTGTAAAGCTGCTTGTTTAGACAGCCGTTTACAGCTACTGTCGTTTGAACTCCTGTTGGTGAAACCGCTGTTGTTTCGATCTGTGAACATGGGGTTGGCCCCAACATGCGGCTTGGTATTCCTTGAATGTGCTATGATTCGCTTTTGAATGGGCCCATTAACATGGCATGACATCCGATACCCATTGGACCAAAAAACCCGTGTTTGTACATCCTGGCATCCTCGCTGAGATTCCCCTGGTCAAATTAACATGTTGCCAAGTTGCCAACTGAACAAGCTCAAGTACTCCCCATCTTGGTGAGATTTCATATGGCTGGCCGGTGCGTCAATGCTCTGAGCCAATGGCAACTTGATGCCATGATGGCCTTCCCACCAAAAAGTCGCAGGCACAAACCTTATGAAGCAACCAAGCTGAGGCAAAGGAGAGACACTTCACTCGGCCGCGGCACTGAGGAATTCCAATGCGACGCTGGATCCACTGCAAGCTCAGGCCAGTAATTTCCATCCGGCTTGCAACATAGGCCATACCAAAAAGGGAGATCCAAAGAAGCTGCGAATAGAAAAGCGGATCCCGAGCCTCTCCCTTCAGGTGCTCAATCTCTCAGCCCTGCATTGTTAAGCTTTTCCCTCCAAATGAGATTTGGGTCTGCCTACTGTTCGGACTCCTGGAACCGTTCTCTCCTCCTTCCCCCAAAACGGGCCCGCAAGTCCGAGAGACTTCCGAGGAAAAAGGCGAGTGTCAGAGGTGAGGGGCTCGGGTTTCAGCAAGGTCCCTTAAAGTTTGAGGAAATATTAGGACTGATAAGAAACGGCTTCGGTCTTTCATGAATTTCCATATTTTGAACTCACAGTCTTGCGGCTAGTGGTCTTTGTTGTTTGGATTCTCGCCCCGGGCTGGTCGCTTGAGGGCTTGATGTGTTTGCTTTGGATTGCCTGGTGTTTGTTGTTTGTTTGGGACGGAAAAACGGGCTTCCTCGAGGGCCTGTTTGTTTGCTTTGGATTCACTCCTGGGGCCGGCAAAAGACTAGACCCTGAGGCTTGTCTTGTTTCCGGCCCCATTCGGCCCATGCGTGAATCCCAAAAACACTCTTGGGCTCCAAGGATGTGAATTCCAAGGTGTGAGAGAGCAGGATGGAATCGGGGTGTTTTTGTTTTCGGAATCACCAGTTGCTCAGTGTCTTGCGAGAGTCCCAAATGAGGCAATCCAAAATAAAAATAAAAAATAAAAAAAGCAGCAGCCAATGTGATGTCAAATGTAAGAAGATCACCGGTTCAAAAGAAACAAAGCACCAGAACCGTCGCCCCAAAAATGCGCCCCCACCCCCCCACCCCCCACCCCGCCCCCCCGCCACCTACCCCGCCAAACCCGGGCAGTGGCACAGAGACAGCGCCACGGAGACCAGCCCCGCATAGACCAGGTAGAAGGACCGCAGCGCCTCACGTGAGCGTGTTGGCGTGTGGGCGTGGTGGCGCGTTAAGCTCGTCTTTTTGGAGTTGCTGCTTTTGGTTTTGAAGAGTTGATGCAGAAATGGAAAAGGGAAACATGGAAACACACACACACATGGTTTTCGGAGTTGCTTGGGGTCTTGGAAAAGATGCGGCCTTGGGACAGAAAAGGCCCGTCCAAAAAGGGGGCATTCTGAGACACACCCCTGGCCTCAGAATGCTTTGTTCCTTGAGTCTGGGCGGCGTGACTCAAGCCAATCACGGAAGAGTCATGAAATCTCATAAGCTTGTTGCAGGAAATCGTTACTTTGCTTTCCTCTATAAATTTCAGGAGGGGGGTGACATGGTCCCATGCGCCGACAAGCAGGGCCAGCTCGGGACCTGCTTTCCAAGGGTGCCCTTTTTGTGGGTTGGAGAAAAAATAGAAACCAAAGGGAAACGAAAAGGTAACCATTTCTGGGGCATCCCCCAAAAGACAAGCCCAGAGTATTGAAACAGATCCCAAGGTCGGACTGAGAGCCGGACGGGGTAGCACCGGTAGCCTAAGGCCTCGAGAAGGGACGCATCTCCCCTCTTGGATGTTCAGCCTACTTCGGCCATTGATAGCCTGAGCCAAGCTGTTCATCGCTATGGGCATGCCCTAAGATCAAGAGAAGCTATCAACAGTGGAAAAACAGGGGATGTTGATTGACTTGCAAAACTGGTTATAACAACCTTTCTACTGAAGAGGTTGAACATCCAGGCTCTTGATGGACCACGATCCAGCATAAAAGTGGCTGGGGCAACGGCGATGCCGGTGAAATACCTGGCGCTCGCAATACCACGTGAACCAAGCCGCCAAAGTGCGCACCTGCACTTGCTCCCCATGGCAAAAAGCCCTGAGGGTCCAATCCCAACAAAAAAAATGTCCAAGGACGTGTTGGATGGAATTGTTTCCTTTCGGAAGTTCTCCTCTTTGGGTTGTTTAAAGGCAGAAGCCTTCCTCTTTTTCTTTCTTTATTTTCGCCAGGCGCACGAGGCAGTGATTAAGACGACGATGCCCGTGAGGTCAAGTCTGTACCTGGATGCCAGATGCGCACGCGTTTCGCAAGGCACAAGGTCCAAATGACGGAGACATCAACATGGTTTGTTCAACACACAATCTACGCAGAAGCTGACCAAAGATCATGCCCGCCCATAGCAAGAATCAAAAGGGCGGACATACGCACCTATTTGACAGGCAGGTCAAGGAGGAACGCCACTGTCCTCTTCTAACCTTCATCTGGGTATGGCTCAAAATGCGGAAGCCCAAATTATTGGCGTTTGTTGGTTCCCCGGAAAAGGAAATATCAAAAAGAAACAAAACGATGAGGTTCCCCAACCAAAGACATCCAAAGTGATGATGGCTCATTCACAGTGCAAAACACCAGTTCCTGCACGCCCTGCCCAAACGTTGAGCTGCCGAAAAAGGGAGCCCTCAATTGAGCCGTGCTTGGGCATATTAGATCGTCTCAAAGTGGTGGGGCCCTTAAAAGGCGGGTTCCTTTTTGTCTCCCTTTCAACAGGTATGTACCGTCATTTACCTTGGAAGATATGATCGTTAGCAATACAATTA